GCGGGGAACGCGGGGTTTGGGTCGTGACACAAAGCCATGGTGACTACAGTTCTCCTTGGCACCTCACATCTGCTCGCCAAGCCATTGCCACTCACCTCATGATAGACCTCCTCGGCCCACTGGTCCGTCTCCCTCCGCCACGCCTCTCCCTCCGCCACGCCTCGAGCGTGGCGTGCACTGCGCTCTCGCTGCTCCGTCGCCGCATCCGGGCAACGGCACCAGGCAGGCCGGGCTTGAGCAAAGGGCGGGCCTTGATGTTCCTGTTGTGTCAGCGGCCTTCTGCGCCTTCCTTCTACCGCTTCTGCCGGTTCAACGGGTCGCCGTCCCCCGGCGCTCTTGCCCGGAGCGGTCTTGCCTGGCGGCAAGCCCACACTTACATCTCGTAAACGCGGTCAAACACGGCCAGCGTGAGACAGTCCCCGTCAATGACATCCCACTGCCCACACTTTTGCGCAAAGAGCCAGCTCCGGCTCGCGAGCCGCGCCGCCTCGAGCGCGCGCGACAGCCAGTCCTCCCTCTCGCCCGTGTACGGGAAAAAGTTCTTTGTGACCCACGGCTCTCGCTGGCGTCTTGGGAAGCTCTTGGTTGAGCGCCAGGGGAGCTTGCGCCGTTTCTTGTGCGAGGTTGCGGACGGAGTCGGGGACTGGAGGGAGCGCACGCGGTGTAGATCGCTGGAGAGGTCGTCGCTGGTGCGTGGCGAGAGCGCCGAGGGGGGAGACGAGACGTCGACGGTCATTGTGACTGGAACGAGGGCTATGGCTGGCTTCAGGTCGTAAGAAGGCGCATGACGGATGAGGAGAGGAGACGGCGAGGACGGTCGAGAGTAGGGGATGTAGGGGTGTGGACAATAGGGATGTGCTCGTGACCAGATGCTCTCGTTCCCGACGCGGACGCCCGCGCCCGTTGGACCCGTTGCGTCCCTCAGCACGGCCGGGAAAGCGTGCCAAGGACGAGAGGTCAGTGCCGGTGATGAGCGGTCGGACATTGGGAACACATGGTCAGTTGAGCCGAGCCGGGGAAGAGAGAGGTGCTAGCGTGAAGCTAGTCGTCGGGTCATGGTAAGTTGTGAATGAGGAGGAGCGGCAAATGCTTCAAGAGATGTGCGATTGTGAAGACGCTGGGCGAGACAGAAGGCAAAGGCTTGGCTTGACGTCGTGCAGTCATTCTGCACCCGTACCCCGCGTCAAGGATGTTGAAAGGGAGTGGCGACGAGCGAGCGGGGAAACTCAGGCCCGTGCGGTGAGGATCACACGACCAAGCGCGATCATCCCACATTCCGCCCCCAATCTCCCCCTTTCTCCACATCTTGGCACTCCCGTGACCTTTCCACTCTCCGATCTTATCCCGCTCTCTTTGTACTCTGCTCCGGTCACCTGTCCATCTTCCTTTCCCCGCATCGGAATATCCCCCATCCACCGTCCATCAAGTCGCCTTCTGCTCGCCTAATACCCCACGAGCCTATCAGACGCCAGAGATAACGATTGCGCCTTCACTGGGCCAGCGTCTCGGATATCGCCGGACGCGCAACGTGCCTGGCAAAGCTCGTGACTGCCTCGCACTCTGGTGACATCGCCAGTCCACTTCATCAGCTTCCTCACTCTCTGCATGCTGCATCACGTCATTCACGTGGGACAGCACTAGTCTACTCACCATTGACGGACATGTCCGAGAGCGAGTTTCTGACACTTGCTGACGACTTTGCTGACCACGAGCGTCGTCGACCTCGAACGAGATGGTTGAGAGACCGAGTCCCTCGCAGGTACTTAAGAGCTTGCCTCGGCTGAGCAAGCAGCATCACAGCAAGCAGCACAACGACCTCTTTACGACAATCATGGCGACCCAGACCCAGACTCAGACTACGACCCCCGACGCACCCTCCAAGGTGGTCGGCTCGATCGCAACCCGCGCGTCCTACGAGCCCCTCTCGCGGAACAACGCCCTCGACGCGCACGAGCACCACAGCGTAACCCCTCACATCGGCGAGGAGTTCCCCAACGTCCAGCTCTCCTCCCTCCTCCGCTCCCCCGATGCGGACAAGTTGATCGCCGACCTGGCGGTGCTCGTGTCGGAGCGCGGCGTCGCCTTCTTCCGCGCGCAAGACCTCTCGCTCGAGGACCAGAAGACTCTGGGCCGCAAGCTGGGCGAGTTGTCAGGCAAGCCGGCCGAGTCGGGGCTGCACATCCACCCGACGACGCACGCGGGCGCGAAGAAGGGGGACGAGATCTCGGTCATTTCGTCCGAGACCTTTGACTCGTATTCCGCCAACGACCGCTCTCTCCTGGCCTCAGAGGGATGGCACAGCGACATCACCTTTGAGCCCGTGCCCAGCGACTATGCTATTCTGAAGGTGCACACGTCTCCCGAGACGGGCGGCGACACGCTGTGGGCATCAGCCTACGAGGCGTATTCGCGCCTCTCGCCCACGTTCCGCGAGTTCCTCGAGGGCAAGAAGGCAGTGCACGAGGCCAAGTTCTTCGAGCGCGTCGCACAGGCCCGCGGCCACACCCTCCGGGACGAAGTTAGGGGCCATCCCGCCAACGCGGGGGCGGAGCTCAGCGCCGTCCACCCCATCGTCCGCGTCAACCCCGTCACGGGCTGGAAGGGGCTGTACGTCAACCCGGCGTTCACGCGGCGCATCCTGGGCGTGACGCGGGACGAGTCCGATCTCCTTCTGAACCACCTCTACGCCCTCGTCAGCCGCAATCACGACTTGCAAGTGCGTTTCAACTGGACGACCTATTCGCCTGAATCGGGGCTCGGCGACATTGCCATCTGGGACAACAGGAGCACGTTCCACACCGCCACCCAAGACTATGGCCGCACCCTGCGTGTAGGTGACAGGGTGGTCAGTCTCGGTGAGAAGCCGTACTACTCCAAGGACGGCAAGGAGCGCCGGGCCGCCCTCGGTCTCGGCCCGGCGGCGGCGGAGCGCAACCTCGGCCAGATCGCGCTGCAGCTGCACGGTGTCAAGATTGCCGAGTAGACACATGTGCGATAGCACATGGGTTCATGAGCTAGTCACATGGGCTGCTCACTAGGCTAAGTTGTACATAAAGATGAAGTATGAAGTAACGATGGAATGCAACCAGTCAAAGCTTAACCTGTCACTTGAGCGGAGGGCGATATCAGCGGAAGGAGGGCGCAAGGGCTTACGATAACCACGAGGACAGATCGCACGTGCCCACCTTTTCTTTCCCATCTTCCCTTCACGATCCGATCGCGATCTCTTTTCTAGCTTTTCTAGACCATCGGCGGTCCGCCTAATCTGCTCCTTTCCACTAGTCCGGACGCATGTTGATGCATGCCGCCGTTCACACGGGCAAGTCGTACCACCGTACCACTCCCTCTCTCCGTTGCGTCGTATTTATAGCACCGACCCGCTGCTTGCAATGACGTAAGCCGCTCCTCCCATCCCCCTCCATCTTCCCCTTCCCGTCTCCTCTCCACCGTAGAGTCGGTCAGGTACGATTCGCGTCCGAGGCACCCG